TCCCACACTCAAGTGAGACTTTCTGCTCAAGGTCCTTTGCACACCAAAAATATAGATCTCACCAGAAATATTTAATTTGCAATGGCATACAAAGCCCAGCTTTGTGAACTCGCTTATGGAACTGGTTCACTCGTGGTTGAAGGGGACATCCCCTTGGAGCACAGAAAGCCATGCTGACATTTTAGTAGATCATTCCAGGTGGCACATCATTTACACAATAACCCAGCAAGTGCACAACTCAGGACTCCGGATTTATTCCTATGCCAGTCCATTGAAGCCGATGGACATTAAAGTCGAACCTTTTCTCTTTAGCTGCCCTACAGAACCCCACCTATTTCACATAGAAATACAGCTTTGGGGGATGACTGGAACTGGGTTGTTAAGCTTTACCTGGATCCGTTCAATATTCACTCAACATCCCATGCTGCGACTCCCTCTGCTCTTGCAAATTAAGCTGGGTTGGACTTGGTCCAGGTTTAGGAGACCAGGAGGTAACATCTGGGAGGGACATTGGCAGTTCCACGGCACCTTAGATAACGGATGGGGCCGTCACCCCAATGTCCTGGATAAACTTCATGCAAACGAAAATGACATTCTGCCTAGCTAAATCGGCTGCAGTTTCAAACGAAACCATTATTCTTCACTTCCTTTTGTGCAACAATGCTTCGCGCTACTTAAGTTTTGCTTTGTTTCACCGGAGATGCAATGGCATTTCACTGGTGTGAGAAATGGACCCGAAAGTACAATTTGCACATCAGGTAGTCGAGCACTCTGGGGTCGTTCACAAACACGATGACAATCCTTCTAAACGAGTTCATGCATAATTCTGATTGGATTGGCCTAAAAGCCTTCCGGTAAGTACCTGGAAGCTGTCCATCTATATGGCAAGAAAAAGGCAGGAGTCCCTAAAATTCCCCCCTGCTTCTTTGGGCCTGCAGGTTTATAAGTAAACCCCTTGTTTCAAGTTTCCTTCTCCACTTCATTATCAGTTAATCGAATGCACTTTCTTTGCCCTACCAAGAAAGGTTGTTACCCTATCTGACCTCCTGGACCAGAACTCAACCTGATCCCACATCTTTGAGTTCTGTGGGGGAATCAGCGGGAAATGGGAATTAATCATAAAATTATTTTATGATTAATTTTAATGTGCCTGGCCTGCACTAATTGCAAGCAGATACGGAAACCCCGGAAGGTATTTCTGACCCAATCACACATCCTAGCAAACTGCTTTAAGCCGCGTCTTGTTCCAACACGTTTGCTCTGGTGAGCTTTCCCGATCATTTTCTAGACCCCAAACGAATCCCTGGATATTCCAAAACGGACGAGCCAAGGTGAGCAGATCCACTGGCTGTTTTTCAAATCCAGCTAGTATTAGCCATTTCCATTTGAGTTTGGGGTTTGTTTTTCTCATGGCTTGATTGTGGCCGGCCACACGCACCATGCAGGAGGTAGCATTTTTTTCAGTGCTAGGAGCAGGCTGGAAAGTAAACGATGCCAATCTGCCTCCCAGATTCCCCTCATCTCTTGAAGGGGAAAGTGCCTGGATCTCTGCTATGCTTGGCACACGTCCGATCCCACAAGGCAGCCACATCTTCCGGGGTAAATCGGTGGGTGGGAGAAAGCTGGGGCCCATTCCCCACCCCTTTCTAATCAGGATAGGAAAGGTAGGTCTGTAGGAGCTGCCCATTGCCCACCAAGCAGACAACCAGTGCAAGGACGTGAACCCTATGGAGCCTTATACCCCCCTTCTCTCCCATGTAGGTACACAGAACGGGTCATGACCTAACCCTTCATCTGGACTAGTTTGGCTAAGGCTGCAGGAGAAAAATCAACCCAAAAAGATTATAGAAAATTATGCACAATGTGGCATATTGTATAATTTGCCATCCGAGACAGAAAAATGCTGCCTTAATAGCCACATGTGCATCTCATTTAGGAAAAAAAAATCCATACTGTTATTAAAGAAGCCACAAAGGGAGTATTAGCTACAAATTAGCTGTGTGCACTGTAGAACAAGCTCTGCGGACTGGGTTTTAGGGGGGCTTTTGCCGGGTGGAAGACGAAAAGGAAAAGCAACCTATCTAATGTTAGGGGACCGATCAAATACAAAGCTAACGAACATCTCTCAGGTCACTGTGGACCAAATCCTGCTTCCTACACAAACCCCATCTTAGTCCTCTAGCAAAAAACTGGCAGGCTGTAAATGCCAAGTCCTTTCTGGCAGGTTTTGAGTGAGGGGGAAATCTATTACTGAATCAGCATCCAGTGCATTGAACCATCAAATGCAATGCAAGTTATTTATGCTATCGCTCATTTTGCAACACATAATATACAAGAAAATCCTCATGAAACTGCCCAGAATAACTAGAGAGGAGATGCTGGATGGCAGCTACACCGACATGGCCTTTCATTTACAGTTTCACTCGTTATGTTTTTTACGCAGACCTTTTCAGCTGGGCTTTTTTCTTCCCATGCACGCACCATATGTGTTATCAAACCTAGTTACAAAGATGAGTGGCTGTACCCCTTTCCTTCCCAGAGGTTTCTATGGGTTCCGGTGACAAAGAACATATGCAGTGTTTCCTTTTACTCCCTTGCCCAAATTTGCTCTAGCTCACTGCCCCCCACCTCACAGGAGGGTGAAATCCAGCTCGGTGTCTGAATATTAATGGAAGACAGACTGGTCTTCTTTTGAAACTAAAAAAGTCCATAAAAAAATAAACTGTGCCTGGAAGTTTTGACAAATCAGACAATGAAAAACTGGGTATATTGCTTTTAGTCTCTTCAGTGGCAAAAGGTTGTGTGAAGAGAGATAGAAAGAGGTGGGAAGCGAAACAATATTTTTAAAAATGGGTTTTCAGTTGCCACTCTCAGGACAAGTCTTGCACTGATGAAAAGAAAATGTTTCTTTACTAAAAACCTGTGAACTGAAAATATGACTGGGATGGTTCTGGGAGGAGGGGAAAAGATCACTTGTGGGCACTAGCTTACCGCACACAATTTGTGAGTGCACCTCCCTTCTGTGAAGGGAATGTAGAGATGTACCTTATAGACTGACCGACTCAAAGATACATAAGCTTTTGTAAGCAACAGCTGACTTCAACAGACACTATGAAAAAACATGAGGGCTAGGTACAGTCAAAAGCCCAAGACTGAATTGATTCAGTCTTTGCAGGTTAGTCTAAACTGCACAGATTAAATTGAAACAGAAGCGAACAGACATTTACCTTTGATTCAGGAAAGGCAGCCACATGCCTGCAGTGGCTTAGGCCAGAAGCCGGGAGGCTCTGGAGAACGGCACTCTGGCTGTGTGATCACTTGCTCTTCCTGCTGCCCCCATGGTCTCTGGGATTTGCAGTCCAGGATTACAATAGCAGGACTCTGCAGAGTTGTTCATTACTTCCCCTTCCTGCTTCCAGGTGCCTCTGGGATTTATAGTCCATATTGCAGGCAGCAGTAAGTTTGAGCAGGGAAGGGGTGTTTAACTCCCCTCCCTGGCCCCAGATCCCAGCCAGGGTTTGCCGGGGGGGGGGGCAGGCCCCCCTGTAGACCTGGGGGCATCCCCAGCTGGGCTTGCCCCTCCCCCCTTTGTCAGCCAGCCCTCACTGCTCTAGATGGGGAGCAGAGGGGTGGGGCCAGCCCTGGAGCAGACAGCCCAGCCCAGCAAAGCATGCTGGGATGCTGGGGGACTGTGATTTACCTTGAACCAGGAAGGGGACTGGGACAGAAGTTTCATAAACTGGTTTGACCCAGATCAGTTAAGTCTGATACTACATTCAGCCAGGTTTATTGTAAACCAGTTTCAGCCATTTTGAAACTGGTTTATGTGCACTGAGCTTCTGTTCTGTTAAAGGTTTAAACCAGTTTCTGATCACTTAAACTGGTTTATGTGCAACTTCTGTCCCTAGCCAAGGAAATCAAGCTATCAAAAAGAGAGAGTGATTTGAATCTTGCCTTTGAGAAACACATACCAGAATCGTTACAGCTTCGTAACTAGAAAAATCAGGATGGCGGCTGCTCTTCCATGCCTTGCATTTGTGCCGTGACTTAATTTTCAAGCTGGGCAGCCTTTAAACTTAATCGTAAAATGCTTGTGCATGAGTGTAGTCAAATTACCTTGGGCCAGAGACAGTCCGAGCTGGAAGTCTGGCATGAGAAAGTTATCTTTGTTTACAGCGAGATAAAAAGGAGAAGAGGAATGTCAGCCTGTCGGGGAAACTGCTGGCTCGCAGCACACCCTGCTGGATCCCACGACAGTGCAACAGGGACACGTAGTCGTGCATGGGGATTTCTACCTGGGTTGGCTTGGATTCACGCATTTTAAGGCCAGGAGAAGGATTACAGTATCCCCTCTGAACTCCTATAAGAAACACTGACCTATAGGCCGAAGTCCATCAGCCTCTGGCTGCAGTGCTGAGACCCATAGCTTGTCTTTGGCTGAACCAGAGCAATATGCAATCTTGACCTGAAGCCATCAAGAACTGGAGAAACCACCATTCCCTTTAATAGGCTTTTTTTCCGCCCCCCATTGATGAGCTGTGCTTGCTGGTACCAAAATTTCTGCATTGTTTTCCAATTTAAATTTGTCTGGATTTACTGGCCAGCCATCGGCGATGCCTGTACCTGTGAGGTTCCCAAACCCCTTTTGTTCCCAGTGTTTCTACCTTATGGTGGCAACTGCTCACCGTAATCAAGCCACTTCCGGATCTTCTTTTTCATAAAGGAAAATTATTGACCTCTTTAAGCCTCTCACTGCAAAGCACATATTTTCCCACCACTGATTCAGGTTTCTGGCCTATTTGTATATCCACCCCAATGTTTCAGCGGCTCCTTTGAGCGGTGGAAAGCAGAACTGTGTTTAGTGTTCCAGTGGCAGTTTCATCACTGCTGTAGACAGAGGCAAAAACCACCTCCCAACTCCTGTTTTCTAAATCTTTTAGGCCTTTTTCCCACCCACCCCTCTTTCCAGTCAAGATAACAAAAAAACCCACGGTTGCCGTCTAACCTTCTATTTTGCTAAGTTTCAATGAAATCAACCCCCCTAAATCCAGGAAGCAATACTGTTCCTAAACCCCGTGAATTAGCACATCCGCAGAAGAATCATGGCACGGGGTGTTTCCCCCTTTTCCACAGAGAAATTTGTAACAGGACATATATCCCAGGGGCAAACACAACAGTCTTTTTCTATTTTGGGGAAACATCTGCGATTTGTAAGATAGCAGGAAAGAGGTAAGTGTGTCCCTAGTGATGCTGGTGCGAATTCTCCCTTACCCACCAGTCACAGCTATTGCTTCCAGTATGTCCCCAATGGTCTGTCTCAGAAGAAGTTGCTCCTGTCTTCAAAGGAAGCTTCTCTGGGCAAAACCTCTCGCTGCCTCTGCTTGATGTCCTGGAAGAGACTGAAGAACCACTGACATTAGGGGACTTCTTCACAACTACCCCTAATTTAGTTTCAGCCCATCAGTCCATCCACACCCTTGTGATGGAAGATCTCAGAAAAAAAACTATTGAGATCAAGGTCCAAAGGATGGACCAAGTTAGGATGTGCCTGACTTGGTCGATCCATTGCCCCATCCTTTAAGTCATATCACACAAGAGCTCAGGGCGTACATTGTGCAGATTCCCTGAAGTCTTCCTCCTTCCATGAGAGGAGAATTTGAATTTATAGCTTAAATTAGACTTAGACCCAATCTAAAAGATGAACACAAACCCAAGCACAGAAATCCAAGCCCAGCACACCCCTCACACAAACAGAATGGTGCAACCTCGTGATTAAATATACTGTTTTTAATATCAAAATCAGCACACGAGGTGTCCACAAATGCAATTTAAAAACTAATTGGAATATTGATATATCACCTTACTTGCAGTCAGATAATTACCAGTATTACAGCACTTGCTAACTGAACTGGCTAGTGATAGTTAAATTCATACTTGCATTGTGTAATCTAAAACAAAGTTCAGTCAGTCAACGCACAGAAGACCGGATCAATGGCTGAATACGGCAACAGCTCTGAAGTGGTCTCATCAATAACGTCTTAGATTGCTATAGAAACTGTGCTCCCTCCCACCCAAAAAAAGTTAAACACACATTGCAGGACTTGGGAAATAAATTACGATGGGAAATAAGGGATATCACACATAAGATACTTTTAGATGCCAGAAGGGCAGGCTCCATGATATCCCGAGCATTGCACAGGTGCAATCTCTTGGCAGACGTCACAGACTCCATACACTTATCAGTGACACTGGGACACAACAAATTGGGATATAAGGCAGTGTAGCTCAATTGGGTTTTCTGATGGACTCCCATCATTTAGCAAAAGGGTTGGCAGGCTTCCAACTGTTCCAGATACTCCAGGAATTGTGGCCAAAAGCTTGCAAAGAACTTTCTTCCAACTCCTCAGTTGGTCTAATAAAAGATATCACATCTACTCAAAGACATTTGCCTGCCTGTGTCCCTAGACCAACACGGCTACAACCAAAAACCCAGACACTCAAGTGCTTCCCAACTTAATCCAAGGCTATGGAGATATGGAGAGTAATTCAGGACTCAGGACTCTGACCTCTTTGCATTCATGAATTCAGAGTCAAATCTCCTTTTGAATGACTCTGTATATTCAGTGATAAACGACCTCGAGGTTTTCGACTAAAACCGTCCATGCAATATTTACCACGTATCCGATGGAATAAGGTGCTCTTTGCTATAGATCATAATGCTTATGGCGCTAAGTAGCTTGACAACTGTACCAAAGAAAGGCAGTTTGGTATTGTGCCGCTCTGAAGGGCCAAACCAAAGTACTGTACATGCCGAAAAAGGGTTTTCGTTGCAGCGAGCTAGGTCTTTTTAGAGGCTTACTGTGATATGGGGATGCAAAACTTTCCTAACCTCTCATAAACCCCCTCTAATCTCAAAGGTCTTTAATTTCACCATAGAAGGAGTTCTCCCCCGAGATCTGAAGCCAGAGCTGTTGCATAAAAGGGCCATATCTTCAATGAAAACTATCCCGTCAGAGCGGGAAATGTGCCAGAAACATTTTTCTACAAATTCCTGTGTGAACGGTATGGATTTGCTTTAGTCCCACGCCCAAAGGAAAGTATTTTTGCTTTGTTTCCGCAGCACCTAACTAACACGGTGGGGTCCCGATCTAGGCCTAGGGCTTCTAGCCACTACCACCGTGCAAGTCGTAACCTCTGACAAATAGGCGAAATGTGAAAAATGTGATGAAAAGGTAATTTGTTCATGGAGAGTCCATGAATCGAAAAAAGACTACGTGAATAAATAATGTATTATGAATTATTTCTTCTGCTCCAGTTCATTTATCAAGATCCTCTCGCACATAAAACCTGCACATGCTAAATTAAACATAAGCGAGGGAGGAAAGGAAGCCAACGTCCACAGCTACTGTGTCCAATTTCCCACAAAGCAGTTGTCCACCAGTGACTAGCCAGCTCATATCTTGACAACTTCAAAGGCTGTATTCTCCGACCCCCGCTCTCCACTTCCTTTTGCTATTCTACCTTCCTCTTTGTTTGCCTGCCGGTTTTATCAATATTCCCATGGCAATTCAACAGAACTAACCCTCTCGTCCCCACAAAGGACTGCTCAAAAGAACAAGAGACTGTTAGTGATTAGTCTTCCTCTAGCAGAGGGATTGTGATAGGCCTGGGGTTAAGTTTGTCTTGTGCGAGCCCATATCAAAACCGGTTTCTCCTTTGTTTTCTTTCCTTTGCCTCTTGCATGTCCTAATCAGCACATTTCCAAACTCGGGCATGTAGTATGTCCACTATGAGATTAAACAGGCCAATGTCTCTGTACACAACATTGTCCATATACAAGGTCTTCATAAAGTCCTTGTGCACCACTTAAGTTATTAAAGTTTAAAAGTGCACAAGGACTTATTGAAGACCCTGTTTTATCCGTTTTATATTCTATAGTGATACAGTCCTACAAGAACCTTTGATTCTGCAATTAAAGAAATGTTTTCTTGCAAAAATCTTGTTGGTCTAATAGAAGATATCATCTCTACTACGAGTCCTGATTGCCTTTTGATTTCGGACACATTTCTTCCATCCCAATTAACAGAGGGCCATCTCCTGCTAACCTTCACAAGATTATAGAGAATATTCAGGGTATTTAAACTGCCCAGCATAGGTATAGTTCGATATACCCCACGTTGTATCAAATGAGATGAATCGGTAATAACGCTGTGAGAGACGTGACAAGTTTGTCTGGCTTTTTACGAACTGGAAGTAATCGTTGCACCAGCTCCAAAGAACGAATCAGAGAAAGAGCAGAGAAACGAATGGTGTTTGCGACACGAGAGGAAGTATCTACAGCTTGCCTGGGAGACAGGAGTGGGGAGGGTCACACAACAGACAAGGATTGTGATTTTGCTTTGAATTCTGCTTTGAAGATCAGTCTGTCTTTGAAAATACTTTGTTCAGCATCACAGCAGGAGAAAACGTCCTCAAGGCAAACCAGGGTAAGCTCCACAGGAGCGAAATCTATAGAGCAGAGATCCAAGAACAGGCGGGGAGGGGTGGGGAGAAGAGCCGAAACCCAAAAAAAAGCACCACTCTCAGCTGCGAACATTTTGTCAGGTGCTAAAAGCAAGTTGGATAGCCAACGGATGCCACCGCTAGGCAAGCGCGTCCTCGACGCACCCGAAATAAAATCGCGGCAACCACCTGGTGATATCCTGCACGTTATCAGAGACGAGAAGCTACCAAGTAGTCTGATGGATGGTTGCAATGTGGGAGGGAAAACGGAGCCAAGAGGAGGGATCATAAAAAACGCTGCTGGAATAAGCCGCTGCAGAAAGTGTGGGTCTCAGATGAAGCGCAGCTGCAAGACATCCCATCAACCACTCTGGCTCCTAAAAATATCCTAGTGATCCTTTTTTTTTTTTTCTTTTGCAAATCAAGGGAGCAAGCTTTGGCTTTACACTGTCAAGTGCCTGATCTTCCCTTGTTTCAGGGGTGTAGGTTGTAGCCGTGTTGGTTTAAGGACATAGGCACTCTTTGCATACATCTGATATCTTTTCTTAGACCAATTGATAAAAAAGTGGGCTAATAAAAGATAGCAAATTTACCCGAAGAACCTTGTCTGATCTTCCCTTGCAGTTTTAGCCATACTCCGTTTTCATCCCTGTTTCCGGTCCTAAATGCCTGTGCGATGATGTGGCATGGCAACCTTTTAGTGGAGTGAATTGGTTTGGCGTGAAGTTTGTAAATCGCTGCAGGATGCCCCAGGAATGGCAGGTGCTAGATGCAAACAGCATTCATATTATAATTGTGCGGCCTGAAAATGAGTCGCTCAAAGGCAAACATCCTATTAAGGAATGTGAATGGAAGCAGAAATGTAGGGCCCAATGCAAGCCCTACTGAAGGCAATAAGAGGCTTGCCATTGATTTAACCTACCATAATCAGACCTTTAAAGAAGGCAGTTGAATTGTCTATATGAAATCAAAGTGCGCAGCCCAACCACACTTCTTACCTCAAATAAAGAAAATAGCGTGATGTGAATAAGGGTGCATGTCTGCTGGCCCCTACAGTGCTCATCACCTGAAAGGACTGTCACGTTGACCACCCAGATATTTATCACCTGGGGTTTGTTCTGCCATTCACACATGGCAATAAGAGAGAACTTTGTCTTGCTTAATTATATAAATGAATATTTGAACAACCAAGAGAAAAATACAAAAGCTAGACAAAAAAACACATATGAGAGAGCAGATTTTTTGCCATTTCTTTACATGAAGAAACAGCTCATTCTGGAGGTTTTATCCAGCAAGAGCAAAATGGCGTAATTTATTAATGCCTGACACTGATTCACCTGCTTCCATCCTGCTAGATCTGCCATTACAGTATAATCATTTGATATTATGGTTCACATATAAATATTTAGCTGAAGGGAAAGCTGCCGAAGGAGCAGACAACTAGACACTCGCAACAAGGTATATTTTGAGCCTCAAAACCCAAGGAAATGTTGTGGCCCATCAAACCCAACTGCCATTAGCCTAAGAACAATTCATAATGGCTGGCAATTAGAGGCTCCTAAATAAGAATTTAATTTAGATTTATTAAGATAGCGATTGCATGTCAATTTATTTAAATGTAAATTGATTATTTCAAATGTGTTTGTCGAAGATTAACAACTCCTGTATATAATATAGATACACGGCTAATTATAAAGTCAAGCAGCCCTTATTAATGTTTCTAACGATCAATTTGTATTCAAACAACATAAAATAATCAACTTATTAAGGCTTCACTTGCAGTGGTAATTGGCATGGGGATCTGCTCACGAGGCAATCATCTGGCTTGCAAATAGATAAAAGTCAGAGGTCTGTTCCCTGAATGAATGTTCGGCGCCTGAACAGATCTCGGTGTTAC